CACGGTCTGTAACACGTTATATAAAATTAAGTAAATTAATGTAAGTACAAATTATCGAATTAATGCAACTATAAATGATCGAATGTTAAATCGGAATTATTCGAATAATTCCGTGATCACGCGTTATTTCAACACATTACAAAAATAACGTTGGAACACGTTATTTTTTTTCTTGGAACGGATCGGAACGTTACCAAAAAGTAACGTTACTAAATAACAGTTACTGAAATAACGACTCATCTCTAAAACATATGTTTGGTTATATATAACCTACATTTTTATAAACAAGCTTGTGTATTTTGTTACAGGGAGTTTTTACTTATTGTTATTGTGATATTCGTTATTGTTATATTATATTGTTCTATTTTTTCTTGTTATATTTGTTCTTGTTATACACTTGTATTTGTGCTTTTTAATAGACATGAAGTCCTGTGTTGTGCCAAAATGTAACCAGCAAAGCTATCGTTCCGGCATTAAAATTAAGCGGTCCATGTTTAAAGTGCTAACAAATAAGAAGCGGTTAAAAACATGGCAATGTGCAATAAAAAACATATTATTGACACCTTCACATTTTGTATGATTATTATATAATTAAGCACATCGTGTTGGTGAAATATATATTATTTTAAATAAACAATCAACCCATCCCCGCCAAGACAATAAAAAAATCGGTTATTAATAAATTAGCCAGAATATTGGTTGGTTAGTTTGTTGTGTTACTAGAAATTTTGGTTTTCATATTAGCCAAATTGAATTGGATAGTTTACAAATTATCCAGCTATTCCTAAATAATTTCAAGTAAATTAGCCAAGACCCTTGGTTGGTTTACAAACTAGCCGCTAATTTAGTTAAAAATACGTTTTCAATTAAAATAGCTGACAGTTTGGCTAGTTTATAAACTACCCAGCTACTTAATAAACTATCAATGTTTACACATTAGCCGTAACATATATATGATATACGTATGTATTTTATACATTAACATGTTTGGTCTGGGCATGTGACGGCCGAGGACTTTGTGCATAGAGTATAGACTTTGTTGTCCTATTTTGTTAACGTAAATTATCCGAAACAAACTCACAAATATTAAATTTTTGAAAATGTAAACAAAACATAGAAAAAGAATTTAAAAAGTTAGGTTATGGTCATGCAGTAGTCAGGGTTGGGTCAGTAGAAAACCTTAGGTAATTTACCTTGGTAGAAAAGGGTACACCGAGAAAAATAATTTAAGACCATCTTTAAGATTCTTAATAACCTTATTTAAGATATCGCAGTAAAATAGGGGACATTAAGACCGTTTAAATACCATTAATAGATTCAATTTAATAACTATACTTTGTAACCATCAATAGGCAAACTTAATACAATTATCATAAGACCATCAAAAGTTTTTATATCGGCCATTAATATATATCTTATAAGGGTTAATATATTATTTTAGGATCATCTTAATATCACTTAAATATCTTCTTATGACATCTTAATATGATCCTAAATTGGTACATATATGGCAAATAAATAATCTTATAATGGTAAATATATTATTTTTAGATCATCTTAATTCCATCCTAATATCCTCTTATGATATCTTAATATGATCCTAAATATATTTATTTGCCATAATAATATGCTATAGCTATCATATTAAGATGGCATATTTACGGCAATAGTTTAATTTTATTATAAATGGAGCTGCACCGTGGTATAAATAAACGAAAATAAATCTTAAAAGCATTATTTCTACTAAAAGTAAAGCCTTGAAAATAAAATAAAGCCCCAACGCGAAAAAATGCATTAAAAGGTTGGATTTTCATTTTAGTCTTCGAGTACATAATTTTGGCATTCATTTTTATTTTATTTAAAAAAATCATTAACACCATTATTTTCATCAACCTAAACTAAACCTAAATGTTTATAAAAAAATCAGAAAAACATATCGCAATTAGTATAAATTATTGCTTTCCTTATTTTTTTAGGAAATAAAATAGAGATAAATACCGAAATTATTTTTACTAGACGACCTTATTAGTGCATTTTCTGCGTTGGGACTTTATTTTCATTTTCAAGACTTTACCCAGGTAGCACACTGACGTTTATATGACGTTTAAATGACTTTGCTAACGTCATTTTAACGTCAGAAGACGTCATATAAACGTCAGCATACGTCAGTGTGCTACCTGGGTACTTTTAGTAGAAATATTAATTAATAATACTTTTAAGGATTATTTCCATTTAGTTAACTCCATAATTTTCTGAACATTTTTAGCCAGTCTACCCTAAAAGAAAGATAACTATTGAGCTTTAAAAAAATTAAACTATTTCAGCAGATATTAAAAATCTTGGTAATTTTTCTCAAGCTGTTTTATTTATAAATATGGTACCTAATAATAATAAATTGTTAACATTTTACCAAAAATATATTTCAGATTTTACCAATATCCTATAAAATAAACTTCAAAGCATACATTTATAAAAGTATCATCAACCTAATAAATACAGGATGAATTTTTTAAATGTTTAATGCAGGGACCCCGGAAACTATATAGAAAGAAATTGAACCTACCTTCAAATCCTTTAACAAAATCACTGAGCCCCCATTCAAGCAGAGTAACTTTGAAAGCCATTACTATGTTCTGTAAAATTACCGCAAAACAATTGTGAAGAAACGCCCTTTTTCTTCTATAAACGATTCAATATTATCCTCAATTTCCCGTAAACAAGTGAGAAATAATAAATGACGCTACCACAGAGGACGCTGTTAAACGATTGGTCGATTCGAGTATAGTCGGAAAGCCGAATCTGTTAGTTAGGTAGATGAGTTTGTTAAGGCCATTATACAACTTCTTAAGGTCTTTAGATAATTTAAGGTGGTTCACAATCTTATGTTATGTGTTCACAATTGACTAGTAATGGTTATTAAGACAAGTTTTAATAAGGTCGTCTATTAACCATATTTAGTTATTTATCACTGGCATTAAAATAATTTAAAGAACAGCGACATATTAATCTGAGTTTATGGTGGTATTTAGATATTTTATGATTGTTAAAATATAAATATAGATGATCTATATTTTTTGTTTTGACACTTTATTAAAACGTATCTATTAGTCACCTTAATTCGTCTTCATGTCACAGATAGATAATTTGTACTGGTTATTAGATATATTTTGAACACTATGTAGATAATTTCATTAAGATAATTTAAGATTGGAATTTTCTCAGTGTAGAAAACTTGTTTTCGACTTGCGTCGAAAACCTATAGGGTTTTCTACCTACGTTAATTACCTTATTCGATCTTCTCCTTCCACTTCTCTATAATTGATAAAAATTTGCCCTCATGCCAAAAATTATGTTGGGGTCTCCCAACCAAACGTGGCCCTTTTTTTCCCACCATAATAATGTTAAAAAACTCCAAATAACTTCAAATTTATGGTAGGTGTCTGATTTTTCACAACATTTAACAAATCATAATAAACAACAAACTTGCATAACCTCACATTTTTTGATATTTGACAGTATTCTACTTTTTTACGTTTTCTACCGTCGAAAACGTCGAAAAAGGTTTTCTACATGTCGAAAACAAAAATGTAGGTAGATACCCAACCCTGGCAGTAGTTCCACATTTAACTAAGTAGTAGTTTAATTGACTTTACCCCTTCGATCTTAGCGCCACCTAGCGGCTTGGCACGTTAAGGAAGCCACCTCGAAGCTTAAAGTTGCAAGACCTGTATATAAGACCGTGATCAGAATTTTTAATGACAAGTGACAGTCATGCGCATGGAGCCTACACAAGGAGTCCGAACTGCATGTAAACAAGAATCTTCCTAAGTTAAGTAGGCGCTGGTGTCCCGTTTATTCTGAAACAATTGACTAAAGCTTAATTTTCATGTATCCGTTTGTCCGTCAGTCCGTTCATCCGGGAGCGCTCTTATTGGTCCAATTATTATTCAAAAATTATGACATTTTTTCTGTCCGTCAAGTTTTAACTTCGTACGTCTGACGGAGAAATTTAAAATAATTTTAACTAATCTGTCACTACACATCTGTTTTTGACGCCTAACGTTATTTTAAGATACTTTATTTTTAAATCTTTTAATATTCTTTTAATAATATTGTAAAACGGAAATATAACGTTCGTTATGTGAATAATGTTCTACTTTTATGTTTTTATTTAATAATAATAAAAGAAAAAAAGAAAAGACAAACTATAAAATATTAAAACCAGAACTAAAAGGACCTGCTTTTTTAAAACTATACATTTTAATGTATATTAGGGCTAGTATATTCTTTTATAAGGTATATTTACCTACCTTTAAATTTATTAGACAGCTAACTGTTAAAGTTACAATTGTTGACATAATTGTAACTATGACAATTAAGCATTAGGTAAATTTAGTAAAGTGAATATACTGACACTTAATTTCTATTTGTCGCCAAATCAATCCGTTAAACGTCATTTAAAAACGTATGCATGAAAATTAGAACATTTTTTATCGGACGTTTTTATTGAAAAACTGACATACGGATGACGGACAAACGGATACATGAAAATTAAGCTTAATTTGTACCGAAACGCTACCAAAAGAGCAGACGTCAGGACGCATTAACAATCAGCGCCGCTGGTGGTGAAAAAAAAAGACTTAATTTGTGCAATTTAGAGGGCAGGTTTTGTCAATTTTCCCTATTAAGTTCGGGCTCCTTGTGTAGGCTCCATGGTCATGCGCAACAACTCTCTTTAGTTGGTTGGTTTAGTAGATATCGCCACAAGGTGGGTGTCGCCATCTATCATCATTCCGCCCAATGTTTCTAAATGTGTATTTATAGTTGCGTGTATCCGTTTGAAATTTATAATAATTTTAATTAAGTAGGGTAAAAAATTGTTATTTTATTTTTAGGCCCATATATCAAAAAGTACTAGATTTTGATTCAAGGGTACTAGGGTATAGAATGTTTTAAAAAAGTACTAGATCTAGTACAATTGTACTAGACTGGCAACACTGGTTTTGACCACAAGTTTATGGTTTTGACGTTTCTAAAAAAATCTAACCTAAAAGTAGCTGTATCTTGATATTTGTTAAAATTATGGGAAATGAACAATCCCAGCTTGCAGGTTTGGATATAGAAGAAAAAGCAGTAGAAGTTTCTGACTTTTGGTCCCAGCATTCTGCAATAATATGTAATTCTGAGAGTACAACTAGCTTGACAGTGTTTACTGGAGAATTATTAGTCAGTAGTAAGTGGTCCAACCAAACCCCTTTAGAAAAAAATAGTAAAGTAAATGATCTCTATTTATCGTATAAATTAGGAATTATATATTTTATTTGTAGAATTTGATGATATATCGTCATCCATGTATTCTGAAATACATATCTTCATGGTCAAAAAATTCCAAGTTTTACCTAGTAGTAGAGGAAGTTAAACCATTAAACCAAATACTAGGTACCCTTAACAATTTACAAATATGCATTGGATTACATTCCATTTTAAAAGCTCTGTGTTTTTTACATGAAACAGCAAGTGTTTCACATAATAACATATGCAGCAGTGCTATTTTTGTTAGTTCCAATGGTAACTGGAAGTTAGGAGGCATGGAATATTTATGCAAATTTTCCGATGTTACCAGTGATTTTTTAAACAAATCCAATTCAAGTAGATACAATAAGGCAATAGATCCTGATGAGGTAAAAAATATGCAAAACAACTTGGATAGGAAGGATGCTATAGATGTTTATGCTTTTGGGGTTATGGCTTGTGAATTGTTAAAGGCCAAAAATGATGGTAAATATACAATTGTATTGAATCTGGTGGTCCCTAATGTTGAGTGGTTTTGAATAAATGATAACAAAAAAAATATGACCCACACAGCAACCCTGAGTTCATATTTTATTTTTCATGAAGTTTACTTCACTTTATGAGTTCTTAACACATTCAAGTGCATAAGTTAGGGTGAGCATACATACGGAATTTTGATATATTGTCTGGAATTTTACTGGGCAATACAGCATAATTCATGTACAGCATTTGCTTAAAATCCTCAATATTTTTAAACTTCTAGCCTAATGCATCTAACTAACAAGAATTTTTGCTTACACTACAGTAAACATATTTCAGTAATAAACAGTTTACTTCCATTCTTAGTAGTGTGCTGTATTTATTTCCTTTTGTATGATTTTTATTCCAAAATCAAGAATGATCAAGTAGATCAAAATCCACACAACAACCCTAGTAGCAATTTGGGAAAAGCCTTGTGCCAGCATGGGTCAAGATACTTGGAACAGATTGTTGATCAAGAATTGTACAAGAATTGGTCCAGATTCTTGATTAAGATCATTGGGCAAGACTTGGGCCAGACTGTGGGCAGAATTAAATTTTGTCAAGAATTTGACCAGAAGTCTGAGGTCATCTGTTACTAAAGGGACTGTCCTATAGAGTAGGGGTTCTCATTTTACAGTAGTTTCATTCACAATACTCTAGTCAAGAAGTGTGTGTAAGAGAGAACAATAAGGTGCGCCTTACTCTCTCTGTCTAAGGTGAACCGAAGTTTGCCGAAGCTAAAATTTTTCTTCCCACAAGTCACACAGGTGAAAAATTTTATGCAAAAAAAAATCGATCAAATGTGTATATCATTTGATTTAAAATTTTACGCGATGAATTTCTGTGGTATCGAAAATTTAATGATTTTTTTTTGTAAATTTTTTAAAAAAACCATTTTCTTGAGCCAAGATTTTTATTTTCGAAGTCCATAACGTGAAACATTTTCAGTCCCAAGGGCTAAAACTTCAAGCCGAAAACGAAATATTCTTCTAAATGTAAATATTAATTAATTCATAATTTCAGGTGATTAATTTATATGGTATAAAAAATTTAACGAATTTTTTTGTGAATAGTTAAAAAAATTTAAAATTTTTCAAAAGTTATAATTTTTCAAAAGTGTAATAATTTTTTCAATTTTTTCTACTAGTTACTCAATAATTACAATAAATTTCACATTTTTTATAATAAAAAAACAATTTTTTTCCGGAGTTATTAATTTTTTTCAACAGATTCGTTTATTACTGACAAGGTAAAAATAAAAAAATTGTGAAATCAATTTTTTGGAGGCATTATTTCAAACTCAACGCTAAACTGTAAAGAACTGACGTTTTCAAACTTATTGACTGCATTATAATTGAGAACCACTGCAATGCTATACTTTTCACTTTCAAGTGAAAGTAGGGAAATAGAAGGCGCGCTTGTGGTCTTTTCAGTTTCTCGCGTAAGTCTATCTCAAGACTGGGCCAAAAATCTGGTCAAATTCTGGTCAAAGACTGGCCCAAGTCTGGAGCCAGTCTGGATAAAGAATCTTGGTCAAGTGTCTTGATCAAGAATTGTCAAATTGTGTATAAAGTGCTTCTCCAAGTATACTTGCCGGAGAATCTTGTCCCATTCCATTGCTACTAGGGAAGGTCTGGATTGTGAAGTAGGTATTATTTGTCGTTGACGTTGCTTATATCATATATGATCTTATTAGCAATAAACATACATAATTATACAATTAAGTAGTGTTTAAGTACTGAAAATATTGTTAAATTTTGAATATTCCAGGCTTAAGAACCAATTTATGCTTGAATATTTGAATCAATTTTGGTTAAATTTAAAGTGCCAAATGAGTTCAAAGTTTTCCCCTTTTTTCCCAACAATTTTTTTGTCTGCGGGCTTTTTACCCTTTCCGGCATAATTTGACTGCCTTACCTTTCGCTATGCACAGCATTCATCGTTTAAAAATCTGATCACCCTAGCATAAGTGTCGGTGTTGCCGGATGAATTTAATAAAAGTTCCCGAACAAAAATGACAAAATAACCTATATTACTCGCAAGAGGAAAAAAATAGTTATTTTTATAATTTTTTTAGCGCATACGCCCTATTATATAAAATAAATTAAATTTTGAACAGGATAGAAAAAAATAATTATGCATGTTTAGTAAATTTTTAATATTACTAACTAAAAAATGTTTGAGTTTGTATTTTGACCAAAATTTGTAAAATACCCGCAAGCATAACAAAAATACCCGATTTTCGGGTAAAATACCCGTAAACGGCAGCCACTCTGTCAGAGTGTGAGAACTGAAGCAAAAGCTTAATTGCGCATGCGTGGAACAAACGCGCACAGGTATACTTGAGGTTAACACATCGACTTCATTTTGAACGCGCACATAATACTTTGCGCCACTTAATTTGCAAGTTGATGGTTTACATATCTGGATAATGTTATCTATATTAAAAAAGTAAAAAAAAAATAGGTAGGATTTATAATTTGTGAAGTACTCAGCATTATGGAACACAATATTACAATAAGCCCAATTAAAAACCAATAAGATTTTAAGCGTGCATATTGGGTACCAATGGAAGACTTTGCCTAGTTTTCCCACCTTAAATTCAAGGGTAACCAATATCTTGAATTTGTTCCGTTGGAACACTACCTAAAAATGTTATTGGTTTTAGATTTAATGTTAATTTAAATAAGCTTGAATTGTTATTTTCGTAGATTCCTTACCATCTCTTTCAGTATTCTTAAGTTTGTGTAAAAACAGCTTACAAAACAATGCCATTGCCCAAAGACCAAAACTAAGTACTTTGTTAAACCATGAATTTTTTAACCATGAGTTTATTTCTATACATTCCTGTTTAATTGTTTTGGCTTTAAAATCTGATGATGAAAAAGCAGAATTTTTCTCCACTCTAGGAGACAGATTAAAAGGCTTTAATGAAATAACAGTAGCAAAACAATTAACTGGACTTTTGCTATCAAGAATGGTTTTGCTAAGCAAAAGTGCCAGTACCGATTTTTTACCAATTTTCTTGAATCCAAGGAAAGGTAAAACATTACTTTTTTAAATCAATTAAATATTAATGTTTAAAATTTCAGAAGGGGAAGACCAGTCCAAAGGATTGTTTACTCTGGAAACGTTTAAGAAATACGTTTCTCCTATTTTAATAAGTATTTTTTCTGTTAGGGACGCTCAAATAAGGTTGTTGTTGCTAAATAATTTTCACAACTTTATGGACACTTTTACCAGGGACGAGTTAAAGTCAAAAATTTTACCTGAGGTAAGAAAAAAATTATTCCTTAACAAATTACCTTTTTATTACCTATTATTGTCTTTTTTATTGGTATATTCAATTGAAAGTCTTACATTGTACAATATGAAATTGAAATGTTACTCTTGTATTTATACAAGAGTAACATTTCAATTTCATAAGTTTTAAGTTATTTTAGCGGATAAAAAGTATTTGTCTTTGAGTCAGAATTCCTGAAATCGCATAGGTAAAATCGATATCCTGTGACAAAAATTGTCTTGCGTAATTCAATTCCTTCATTTTTAATAAACATTTGAGAATTTGTTGCAATTTTTTTTTAATTATTATTTATTAATTGGGAAGAGAATTCCTAAAAACCCAAAGAAAAGACCCTACTACTGAACCCTGGGCCAGGATAAAAAAAATAAAAGTCCAAAGTCAAAGAGCTTAAGACCTAGCTAGGCACTAATTTAGTGCCAATAAAAATTTAAAAATTTAAATTAAAATTGTTGGATTTTTTTAGCACTTTCATTAATAAATTGAACCACCTGTCAAAAACCCTAAAATTAAATTAAATTGTTGGCTGATTATTTTAACATTGTTTTAGCTATTGCTTGGCATAAAAGACACTAGTGATCACCTAGTATCGGTAACCCTAAGGACCCTAGCCGACCTAGTTCCTGTACTTGGTGCATCAACTGTGATAGGCGGCAAACGTGCCAAATTCTTCAACGACGGTCGCCCGATTACTCATCCGTTGCGTAAAATGTCACGCAATGTTAAAAAGCAAGAGAACGTCATAGAAACGGACGTTACGTCAATAACTTCGATTGACTCGCAATTTGCCGGGGTGGATTTATCAGAAAGACAAATGCCGGACGGAGAGGAGGGGGAAACTTCGACCGAGGAGATCGAGCATAGCGTGGATGGAGGGGATTTGGATAACTGGGAGGATTGGGATGTTGAGAACCCGCAAAATCAACATTCAAATAATTTAGAGGAATTTGGGACTGAACAAATTAATTTATCACCTCACATTGAGGTGGAACCATTGGGAGAAAACATTCCCGTAGAAAGTACTGATATTCATAATGCTAGAAAAATAAGTACCAAACAAATAGTAGATATAACAGACTTAGATATTAAAAATCAATTAACAGAAGATTTAAATGACGAATTTAATTTTTTCCAAGACATGGAACCTATCATAGAGAGTACCAATAAATTTGTTATTCCTGAAGAAAAAGAACCAGAACTTAGTGAGTTAAGTAGTAAATTAACTTTAAATGCTACTGATGTTGGAGAGGAAGGCTGGGGAGAGGAGGATTGGGAGTAAAGCTTTAAAAAAGTTGTTATTAAAGCTGAAGTTACTAATTTTATTGCATTATTGTATATACCTACGTAAATTATTTTTATCAAAACCCTATCAAATACTTATTTATACATCACACAAGGAAACCTACTCGGGTTTACCTTTTTGAGTGTTCACTGTTTGTAAACTTACTGGGGTAAGGGATTGGTAAGTAACCTGCTAATTTTGTATTAATTGTGATTTTTTCCTGGTTCCATGATTCTTTTTTATCATAAAACTTTTATGTCAAGTAGTGTTTTGAAATCCAGAAAATTCCGGCTGGATTTTGGATGTTATTTTAGGTGGTCTAACTTATCTTAACGTCAAAAATTTAAAGTAAGTGGTAGTCCCAAAAATAGTGAGCAATATTCAACAAGCGGGTTCTACCTCCAAATATAGGAAGAAAACTTTATGAACCTGTGTCGGCAAATGGCCCCCAAGGGACCTACATTGTCTTAAAGTGGCGCCCCTAAAATAGTTTTATTATTATTATTTCTGAAACGGTTTAAGATAAAATAATGTATTTTTAGGAAACAAATGTAATATTTCTTGTTAAATACATATAATAAATAAATAAATAAATATAAAAAAAGACATTTATTTTTATTCAAAAAGTGTTCATTTTAACTAGGTACCTACATACGTATGTTCAACTTGCAAACAAAATTGCATACAAAAAATTTGGGGCTATGTTTACACTCAAAAATTGAAAATTAAAATTTTGTTATTTTTAATTTTAGCATAAAAAGTTATAACTTAGTAAGCATACAAAATTTCATTATTTTATCGTTTTGGAAATAATAAAAAAACATCTTTTTTTCAGTCGGAAGGCAAAGTTGGGTCACTTACCACGAAACAACTATAAATTTTATAGTATACCTAAAACATAACATCAATTACTTAAGAGTCTTAATATAAGATGAGGGATTTTAAAAGTCACTAGTGTACTCTTAAGTTTTTCATAATATCGATGAGTTTTTGCCAAAGTATCGCAAGTAACATAATTTCGGGAATTAAAAACATTTTTTGTTTTAAAGTCTGTTTTAAATTAAATATAGCCCAAAGGTTTTATAACAAGTAAATAGCTTATACTTATAGCTATTTACTTGTTATAAAACCCATAGGTTATATATGGTTTAAAACAGACTTTAAAACAAAAAATGTTTTCAATTACCGAAATTTGAGTTATGTTGCTTGCGATACTTTGGCAGAAAGTCATCGACATGTTGTGTGGATTGTGGGTATGGCCATGTCTCCAAAAACGTATAAAATATAATTATTAAGTATTATGCATGTTAATAAATTTTATCATTTTTTTTTCAATTCCGGGATATGGAAAATATTAATTATTGTCCTTACATATTATTCAGATTTTTTATATGCACCAATTTGCAAAACTCGAATTTGCATTGAAATTTTAAATATGAATTTTTATTAAATTATGGCATTTTTCCATTATAATACTGTGGGTAAAAGGCATAAGGGGATAAGTCAAAAAAAAAGGAATTTTTCAATAGAGCCTTTAACGTGATCGCATTAATTCAGGAAATATATTTATGTTTAGCGGGTATACGCTTTTGTTAGCATATGACATGTGGTAACAAAAGGGTATACCCGCTAACCATAAATATGTTTCCTGAATTAATGCGAATACGTTTAGGGCTCTACTGAAAAATTGCTTTTGTTGACTTATCCCCTTATGCCTTTTACCCACAGAATAGATCCTGTACCACTGGTACATTAAAAATAATTATGATTTTTTTTTCATTTTAGTTAATTAGTAAAAATCATATACCTATAACTATATATATTATTATGTTATAGGTATATGGTAATAATCGAATATTGCAATGCAAAATTTGCATACTTGTTATTAAAGTAATAGTTTGGTATTTTCATTCTGTTTAAATTTGCCGCCATAAAAAGATAAGTTCCCATATAGTACACTTGAACTACTCGTCTTGACGTCACTTCCGCGCATGTGTATTTCTTTTTGATGGGACCGCGGTGACTGGAAAGTCTTTCGTAGTGTCCATAGTGTAATATTTTTAATAATTGACGAAAATGGTGAGTAAAACACGTACAATATGAATTGATTAAAGAGTTAAAGATTATAAAGTATCGGATTATAAAGATTTTTCGTAATAATTTTTACAATTTTGTTGTGATGTTAGCCGATTTGTTTTCCATACTTTCATGCAATGTTAAATGTCAATCGGCACATTTGTGTTTCTCAAAACACTTTTAATGCTTTTAAATCATTTAAATGTAGTTTATTAATTGTTTGTTAAGTATTTTATTCGCAATTTAATTATAACTTGAGCAAAACATTGCAATGAATAATTGGTGTGTGTGGTTTTATGGTTATGTTTATTTTTTAGGGTTTCGTTAAAGTAGTTAAGAACAAACAGTACTTCAAGAGGTTTCAAGTTAAGTTTAAGAGGCGTCGTGAAGGTAAAACAGATTACTATGCCCGTAAACGTTTGATTGTCCAAGACAAAAACAAATACAACACCCCCAAGTATCGTCTTGTGGTTCGTCTCTCAAACCGTGACATTACCTGCCAGATTGTGTATTCTCGCATTGACGGTGATAAAGTTATGTGCGCTGCTTACTCACGCGAATTGCCAAAATATGGAGTCAAAGTTGGTCTTACCAACTACGCAGCTGCCTATGCCACTGGATTATTGTTGGCCCGTCGTCTGTTAAAGAAACTTGGTTTGGACACCCTCTACGAAGGTACCACTGATGTCACTGGAGATGAATACAATGTTGAAGGTGTGGATGATGGCCCAGGAGCATTCAGGTATTTATTATTTTTTGAATAAACACATGGCAAGGGCATTATTAAAATTTTTTGTGAAGTTTTTTGAAGACTTACATACTTAATTAAAATCAAATAATAATAATAATAATCTTTATTAGTGCTAAACCAGTAGGTGTACAACAATACAGAGAAAATAAACATTAGTAGATACAAGTATAAATAAATTATAAATAGAACAGACATATGAAATAAAATGAACCTATAATATAAAAGCTGCCAATGAGCTAATCCCAAATCTCACTCAAAAACTCATCCGTACTGTAATATGCTTTGCGAATCAAACGTTCTATAAGAAACAATCTTAATTCATCAAAGCTTAAATTTTTTCTTTGATTTGAAAGTTTATTGAAAAATTTTATTCCATGGTAAGATTTAATAAAGATTTCAATGTTAGTATATATGTTTTATAATTTAAAGAATATAAGAAGTGTCCATGTATTATTATAAGCAACATGCATCTAAAACTACTTTTAAATATTTACAAAAACGGAACTTTCAAACGTTTTTACTTTCTGTTAATAATAGTAATACTGTAAAACTTTACATTTTGGCACATACACTTAGATTCTGAAGATGCCAACATTGTTGGTGAAAAGTACTTTCAGCACTTTGGGACACAAAGTTTGTGTTTTATTTTGGTATTGGGAAATATATCTAATATTTGTTTAGCATACAAGGCAAATCTAATTTGATGCCTTTGGTATACAAAATCACAGAAATCGCGCTCTCCGCCGCTATTGGATTTTCCTGCACATTTGTTATTTTATAATAATCTTAATTATAAAGTGTAAAGTAATATATCCATTTAGACCTTTGTTTTTAAATTCTAAATAAAATGCATAAAATGGAATTGGATGGCGGAATCTTTATTATGACCTGAAAGAACAATCTTTGACATTTATTTTTTGAAAATAATTTCATTTAAATGCGACTACGGCGTACGTGGTACATTCGGAAGGTCCAATTTTCGATCACTCTTTCTAACATTGCGACCGGTATCTGCACAATTAGGCGAGTAATGTTGGCTTCTTAGTCCTGAATCGTAGCTGGATTATCGACGAAGACTTTTGATTTAACAAGACGGAGCTACGGCACACATAGCGCGTGAAACAATAGCTTTATTAAGAAATCATTACTCGGGTAATTGGGCAGATAACGGTCGAAATGCTAGAAAGATTGATCGAAAATTGGACCTTCCGAATGGACCACGCTGTACGCGGCCAGCATTTAAATGATATTATTAAAAAAAAAATGTCAAAGATCTTTTTTCAGGTCATATTAAAGATTCCGCCATCCAATTCCATTTTATGCGTTTTATTTAGAATTAAAAAAAAAAGTCTAAATGAATCACCTCTTATAAGAAAATTTGAGTTGAAAGAAAATACACAGGAAAAGTAAATAAATAATGTTTGGGTAATAAAAACTTCTAGTTATAGAAATTCTACTTCTACATGAAAAATTTAAAAACATTAAATTTTGTCATTGACAAAGGTACTAAAACGTGATTTTGGGCGTTTAGGACATGTGTGCGACTTTACGCTGTATGCAACCGAAATTCGAGATGAGGCAGTAATTTGGTTTATACTTAACTGTTTACAACATTTTCCTTAAACACTAAATTTCCCCTGGCATTAGATTTCAAAAAAGTAATTCACAGAAAAAAAACATGTTGGGCTTACTAAAATTACACACAATTTGATTTAAAAAAAAACTTAACATTTGTTTAAATATTAGCAAATGCAATTTACATTGGAAAAAATCTTGTTTTATAAAACAGATAAAAAAGTAATTATAATGCTATCAACTAATGAAGGGATAATCAAATGATTTTTAGAATTGAATACTGTGCATTAGAATACTTTTAAATAATTGAATTGCTTATTTTGACACAAAGTTTTCAAGGGTCCAAATGCAATAGATTATTTAGCTGATTCTTAGTATTGCTATACTTAGTGTTTACATTAAAAAGAAATGTTTTATAAACACATAATTCTTATTTATTTATACCATTTTTGTTTATAAACATTATTTTGTTTTAAAATAATAAACAACCCCATTTTCTTGCATTTTCTTATAAATAAAAAACATTTAGTAAACTTTCTGTTACGTTATCGATTAGATAGCTTTCTTTAAGCAGTGTTAAAGTTTTTAACGTTAAAATGAAACCGAGTTCTAAGAAATCTAAAATTTTTATAAAAAAACCGACGTCAAGAAGTTTGTAGTATTTAAATACTTTAACAAGAATGAAATGCTGATGAGAATCGAATACTTTTAAAATTTGCATTCAAATAGTCCCTTCACTATTTTCAACCTATTCAGTTTATTGACAAGGCCTATAAGTTTTGGGTTTTCAGCAGGACCTAGAATTATTATAATTTAAAATCCCAAGTATGGTTTGCACTAAAATAATAATACTAAAAACCACCTTAAATAAAATATTTAAGTATTTATTAGTGCAAATGGAAACTTGTTTTATTTACATCCTTTTTTATCATGTTCTTTCATGATGATCCATAGACACATGCGCGTCATCTGATCTAGTAAATCTAGCTTACTGAAGAACTGTATTCATGTTTTATGCATTCAGACCTCTAACGTTTGCTAAGGTTTACTATCCTAAGTGATATTAACGTGTCTCTGACTAAACTCTTATAAATATAACCATTTCAAGTTCAAAATTTACTTTTCTTACAAAGTATTTTTGTTAAAGATGTTACCTTGACGTTGGTCTACACCGCACCACCACCGGTGCCCGAGTGTTCGCCGCCATGAAAGGCGCCGTAGATGGTGGTTTGAACATTCCTCACTCCACCAAACGTTTCCCAGGTTACGATGCTGAAGCTAAACAATTCAATGCTGAGGTACACCGCAACCACATCTTTGGTGTTCATGTTTCTGAATACATGAAATCTTTGGAAGAAGAAGACCCAGAGGCTTTCAAAAGGCAATTCAGCCAGTACATCAAGAATGGAATCAACGCTGATCAAGTATGTTATTTTTTTTTTTAATTACGCCCAATTTAAATTACTATTTTCTGATTAAGGATTTTAGTGTCGCAATTGGGCTACATTAATCCAATTAATGGCCATTTTGAATTTACTTTTAGTAGGGTAAAAAGGTCATTTTTTGATACAACCTTTTTTTGATAAAAAATTGTTTGTGGAAATGTTAATTTATTCATAGATATTCCAATAATGAAATTGTTTTAGATCGAAGGTATCTACAAAAATGCCCACGCCGCTATCAGGGCTGATCCCACCCATGAGAAGAAACCAGCGCATGCTCCAGCCAAGACTAAGAGGTGGAACCGCAAGAAGCTCACCTTGGCAGAACGTAAAGACCGTGTTGCACAGAAAAAGAAGTCTTATGTTGCAAAATTGCAGGCTGAAAATGAATCATAAATGTAATATTATGTTTATAACAAAAAAGGTGTAGGTATTAAATAAATAGTACAATACACAGAACTCAATGTTTTATTTAACTTAAAAATAATGGGGTTAGGACATGACTGATAGGAATAATTAATCTGTCAGTGAAGCTAATTTCGTCCTATTTTCTGAAAATAATTTAAAATATTTATTTTTTGTGTATAAAGGTCTTAATTTAAGGTGAATTTGTGCTCACTTAAAATAAGATAAAAAGTTGAATTGGTTGCTTTCATGTTCATAAAAATAAGCAATAGGATTAAAGATAACTTTTAAATTTGACTCTTATTTTTGCGTATAAAACTGCGCAGGTCAAAATAGGTCTGAATTGGTGTTATGTGTTGGCCATGTCGTTTGTTTACGTCATAGAAAATGGATAGGTTTACGTAATGCAAAATCTATGATTTTCATCAATAACAACCAAAATAACCATGTTCATAATTCCGTCATTACACCCAAAGAACACTTTGATTACACCTCCCGCAACTTAATAGTGGCAACATTTTCTATTTCTTATGCATGAACGATCAATCGCGACCTTATTTATTATTTTTATTTCTTATTTTAAGTGAACATGAATACGCCATAATGGCACAAAAAATACTATACCTATATATACCTATTTTATATTGTATTATTTTAAAAAATTAGCTTGACAGACAAAAATTAACCCTAAATATTTCTATCAAATTCACTTGGAGGGACTATGTGTGAAGCATAGTACATAATTGTTCATACTGTAGCGAGTACGGCTCTGGATCTCGGAATGATGACTAATCGTCGGTGAGTCAGCGATCGAGAGCTGTGTGGAGCTCGCTGGAATATTCTGGAACGTAGGCACTGAATATATAAGGAACGACGCATCATGAAGAGTTAATCAAGCTTTGGTACTCGCGACGAAATAATTAAATATACAGGGTGTTTACGGTCTAGGGGTCGAAAATTGAACCGGCGGTGTAAGGTACCTTACGTAATAAAGTAATGGTAGATTTGTTGAAATTTTGAAAAAAAAATCAATTGCAAAAAAGTTATTTAAGTTTAAATTTTTTCAAATTTTTGATAAAACTTTTGAGGGTCATGGGTTTTATGCGGGTGGAGACTTAAAAAACGTACCTATTTTAAACAATGAATACTAATGTTTTTGCTTTGATGTTGTTGTTATGTAATTGCCAAAAAATCTGTTATACAGGGTGTTTACGATTGAAAATTGAAAAAGTAAAATCGCATTAATAAATAATAAAACACTCTTTAATTCAAGCTTTTTATTTTGGAACTACATTATTAAAGCAAATGTTCGAAGTTTCCTCCGTTGCAGTTTAAGCACAGTCGTGCGCGTCTCAACAGCGATTGGCAAGCTTGCCTCATAGCACCACCTTCTCGTAACTGTTCTGTAGCCTCGTGGACCCTTTGACGAAGCTCATTGACGTCTTGCACCTCTGGCAATCCTGGCCGATAGATTAAGTTTTTTAGAAAGCCCCATACATAAAAATCCATCGGATTTAAATCAGGGCTTCTTGGTGGCCAAGCAATTGGTCCCCCACGCCCAATCCAACGATACGGAAACTCGTGATCCAAAAACGCACGGACTGCTTCGAGGTAGTGACATGGAGCACCGTCATGCATGAAAAACATTCTTTGCCGGATTGCCAGAGGTACGACGTCATCCACAAGCGGTTCTAAGCCATATGTTGGAGGAAATTCAGGTATTCGAGGCCGTTCATTCTTTGTGGGAGTTCATAGAGGCCTAGCAGGCATCCATTTACTATTCCACCCCAAAAATTAATGGAAAATCTTTGCTGAAAATTGGTACGTCTGATGGCATGAGGGTTCTCTGCGGACCATTGGTGGTAATTATGAAAATTAAAAATACCATTTCTGGTAAATGTACATTCGTCAGTGAACAAAATTTCGTCAACAAAATTAGGATTAGCCTCATTTTGTTGGAGAATCCACTGGCAGAACTCGATTCTCCTTTCGGGGTCGTCAGGATTTAAAGCCTGCACTCTTTGAAAGTGATAAGGGTGCTGCAGGTCTTCATTGAGGGTGCGCCAAACTACCCTATTTGATACTCGTAACTGACGACCAATGCTCCTAGTGCTTCGTGATGGGTCCTCTGCTACCAGTTGCAGTACTTGTTCCTCTGCGTTCAAAATTCTTTGCAACCTATCAGGGCCCCCATCACGACCATAATGGGGTTGGAGCTCCCCGGTATCGCGGGCTCGCTGCGTTACGTTAAAAAATCTCCGAGGCGCGGGGTGAAAGCGATTTGGGAATTTATTAGCGTAAATTCGACTTGCTTCTTCAGCATTACCTTGTGCTTCCCCGTACACCATTATCATATCCACTAATTCGTTATTAGAATAAACATAAGCCATTGCAAAATTAATTCAGTTTTTTGACGGAATTAGAAAGTTTTTTTTTGAAGTATTCAAATCCATGACATTATTCTTTATTGTTTAAGAAACGTTTTGTTGTCAGTTTTTTTATTTAAGTCTCCACCCGTATCAAACCAATGACCCTCAAAAGTTGTATCAAAACTTTGAATAAATTTAAATTTTAATAACTTTTTTATAATTGATTTTTTTTTCAAAATTCCAACAAATCTACCATTACTTTATTACCTTACACCGCCGGTTCAATTTTCGACCCCTAGACCGTAAACACCCTGTATGTGCAAATAATTATTTAAATAGACTCTTGTACAGTAGTGATATATAAATAATTAGTAGTTCAGTGTTTAGTTAGTTTTATAGTGTTTTAAGTGTAATTAAGTTATAAAATAAATAGTTCGTGAGTCCAGCGCCGTAGCAACAACCCAACGGGCCCGGGTTCCAGGCTATACCCATGAGCCTCTAGGTGTTTTTTTTTATTTTGTACTAATTAATATTTTTTATGTTATATTTGGGAGGAACATAACAACCTTTATACCCCCTTAAATCTACGGCTTTAATAGTGTAGAAAAAAATAAAAGACTATATATTGTCTATAAACTTTTAGTATATAAAATATATATATACACAGGAAAAATAAACCAAAACTAATAAAACTATTTATAATAATATATTATAAACAAAATATAAGGGCATAAAAAATAAAAGTGTGTCCATCCCTGCTGAAAAAAACTGATCGAAAATGGATCGAGTTTAAATCTCGATCCTTTTTGATCATTTTTGATAAGGATTTTGTCTCCTGTTTTCGTGATCAAAAAGGATCGAGTTTCGATCCTGTTTTCTGGATCAAATAGGATCGAGTTTCGATCCTTTTTGATCAGCAAAACAGGATCGAAACTCGATCCTTTTTGATCACGAAAACAGGATCGAAACTCGATCCTTTTTCGATCATTTTTGATAAGGATTTTGTCTCCTGTTTTCGTGATCAAAAAGGATCGAGTTTCGATCCTGTTTTCTGGATCAAATAGGATCGAGTTTCGATCCTTTTTCGATCATTTTTCATAAGGTTTCCATAATTAATTCTAAAATAAAAGATACAATTTACAAAACTTGAAAACTTTATTGGGCACTTTGTATTTCAAAAAAATCGGATGACGACGACGATGATGATGAAATTCGTAATTATAATAATAACAGTCATATATTTTATAAAATAATATTCACAACAATTCCGTGGTTTCGGGGAATAAGGGGATAAGTCATTTTTGGGTCTCTCTTTTCAGACTACTGTCATAAGGTAAGAGTATGAAAAGTTGTATATAGTACTACTTTTACGTATTATGGAAACATTATGAAAAATGATCGAGTTTCGATCCTGTTTTCGTGATCAAAAAGGATCGAGTTTCGATCCTGTTTTTATGATTAAATAGGATCGAGGTTCGATATCGTTTTTGATCACGAAAACAGGATTGAAACTCGATCCTTTTTCGATCATTTTTCATAAGGTTTCCATTATTAATTCTAAAATAAAAGATACAATTTACAAAACATGAAAAATTTATTGGACATTTTCGTTTTCAAAAATATCGGATGACGATGGTGATGAAATTTTTATCCTTTTTTTAAAACAAAAAAAAGTGTCCCTTTAGGGAATATATTTATATTACTATTTTAATATTGTCTTTTTAACTTTCGCAAAATAATCTTGCAAATTTTCATTCATACCTTTTTTCTTTTTCTTTATATTTTGATGTGGCCCCATTGCACGCCCATGTTGTATTAAATTTTAACAATTTTATTTTTCAAAAATAGGGCTTTCATATGAAAGGTATGTATACAAAATTATGATTAATTTTTATTTATTTATTTATTTATTTATTTAACAATTTTATTTTTCAAAAATAGGGCTTTCATATGAAAGGTATGTATACAAAATTATGATTAATTTTTATCATTTTCATAGAAGATATGACGAAAAAACGTTTTTTCTTTGTCAACTTATGTGTGATATTTTTCTGAATCAGGATAATGGGAGGAACATTTTCCCCTGGTAGGTTAAAACTGAATCACCCTGTATAACTAGGGTGACGTTCATAATATCGAAATTCACTTTATCGAATTCAAAATATCGAACACTTTTTATCGAAAATCAAAATATCGAAAATACAAAATGTCGAAAATCAAAATATCGAAAATTAAAATGTCGAAAATGATAATATCGAAATTTTATTTAATCGAATTTTCAATTTATCGAAAATAAAATATCGACGTTCATAATATCGAAATTCACTTTATCGAATTCAAAATATCGAACACTTTTTATCGAAAATCAAAATATCGAAAATACAAAATGTCGAAAATTAAAATGTCGAAAATACAAAATGTCGAAATTTTATTTAATCGAATTTTCAATTTATCGAAAATAAAATATCGACTGCTTAAAATATCGATTATAATAATATGGACATATAAAATATCGAAATTACTGAATATTAAAAATTACAAAGTGACTAGAAGTACACCGGGAGTATCGCCATTAAACGTACACCGGGTGGAAAAAAATTCTTATTTAGCATATTTGTCAAATTGTATAATATTAAATGGTCGTTCAATTTCGCGTTCAATGATCTACTTCCCTACACAAACCCA